ATTGATATTTGACACAACACCATAGCAGAAACGCTCGCACGCGATCGATTTGGACACGATATTCCTGCAGAGTACTAACTGTAGTCCCAGATGATAGGGCGATTTCATTCCTGCCTTCTCGTACTTCGACGAAATATCCCTCCAAACTTGAGAGAAATTACAAAATTAGGGTATGAAGTGTGCTTAAAACTCAACTAAAATTTGGTTCAAAATACATTAAGCACTTGTATCCAGCGCAGCGACAATACTTTCAGTTACTCAGTACATGAAAATGACATAGAAACCTGGCATACATTCAATTAACTTCACAATCCATTTGATGGGGTCGGATGTGTGGCGCACTCCAGACCAGGTGTGGAACGTTTTCTCCATGCGAATAATTAGCCTCCATAATTAGTACTGAGCGCGCAGCGTATACGTTCTTCTAGCTCTTGAGATAGAACCCGTGTGCATGGCGCATTCCGAAATCAAGCTTTCTGAAAATATTTTAGCACCATCTTGTAGCGCTTGAAGAGCTGAGTTCAACGGTGTTTTCCGTTTCTGGAATACTTCACTCTGACCCGACTTATAACGAATTCACGAAATTAACGAGGATTCGCGTTATTCGCGTGAATTTTCGATTTCAAACGGCGAGTACTGTATGTATGTATGTATGTATGTATGTATGTATGTATGTATGTATGTATGTATGTATGTATGTATGTATGTATGTATGTATGTATGTATGTATGTATGTATGTATGTATGTATGTATGTATGTATGTATGTATGTATGTATGTATGTATGTATGTATGTATGTATGTATGTATGTATGTATGTATGTATGTATGTATGTATGTATGTATGTATGTATGTATGTATGTATGTATGTATGTATGTATGTATGTATGTATGTATGTATGTATGTATGTATGTATGTATGTATGTATGTATGTATGTATGTATGTATGTATGTATGTATGTATGTATGCGAGTGGATGTATGTGTGTGTAAGTGTGTATATATGTATGTATATCCAAACACAAGTATGCAAAGGACGGGTATACACTTAATATGCATATATAAGTATGCAATTACATATATAGCTAAATATAAAGCGTGCAAAGGAATAATATAAGCTGGCAAGGAATATGTCAGGGTGTGTTGCAATAAAACAGGTAACTCAGGAAATCAACTATAATAAGATTTGGTATAAAACAAGTAGAGAAGAAACAAATAAGAAAAACGATAGAAATGATGCAGATCAAGTGTAAGACGTTGAAAATCGAATGGTTGGTCCTAAACGGAAAAAGGGGTATAAAAGGAATGTAAGTCCCAAAATTTCCATGTACTGAGGTTAATAAACTACTGAGTTTTTCGTTTCCACATATCTGTTATTCTCAAATCTCTAATTATTCTATCTTAAATCTTCTAATAAGAAACCCGTCTAAGCATTAAAGATAGGAACTGAATATATATATATATATATATATATATTGACTTGGACTGACACAGCCATCCTAAGTTATACAAATCGTATCAACAAATTTTTGCTTTCATTCAGCACGTGAACTTCACTCCAGAAGGTAATAGTTTCCAGAAAAACGAGAGTAGGCAAAAATGTTCCGTAGATTTTATCTTTTGAACTGGTGGAATCAACCTTAAAAGGTTATAATGTAATGCGTAAGAAATAACAAATCAATTTTACGGAACTCTCACGAATTTTTATTTAGCGAAAGAGCTAGGCCTACCCAAACAAAATTTTAAAGGATGCTGTAAGAAAATATAACCAATACTTAAAGGAAAACAATTTTGAATATAAAAAAAATAGCCAGTAATCTAATAAATTTAGGCGTGAACTAAGATGTGTCTATAGGTGGATAAGTGTAAATGCACAAGGTAGTATGTAGCAACACAATATGGCATAAGTTATTATAAAGTAGGAAGAGAGGCTAGAAGAATAAAGAATTCCCATCGCCGCTAAACTTACACGGGAAAAAACGGCGGACGAGTTTTTCGCGCCAAAACGGTTTGAATTCTAGGCTAGCGGTGCATTTCGTTGTGGGACCAAGGCCCACTGTCCCTTCAATGCCAATCGAACATCGGGGATCGTCCATCTGAATTTGAATGCATAAGTGATCAAAATTATCATTAGAAATGAAGAGCACGAGTTTCGTGGTTCGGGACTTCAATTTTCGGGATCTAGTTCTGTCGCAAATGATTCCCACAATTTCGTTACCTGGGATCAAGCTACTATGATAGCTCATGGTACGGATTTGCACTGTATGAGTCCAAGTTCGGCATAGGTGGGTATGATTAGTGGTTATCACTTACAATAACGCGACACCAGATGGTGAGCAGTTGCTCTGTTAATATGACGAACTTACATCATCGATATTTATTATGCGATTATGCAGTCATGACATGAAACAAATGAATATGAACGCAATCGCAAGTTGCAGGAGTGTCCCTCAGGACTAAGCATAGGAGTGGTAGGAATATCAGGGAAAACGAGACTTGCTCACTATTTGGAGTCTCTCCTTCCTCGCCTAAGGCTTTGTCCTGTTTTTAACAAGAAGATGTTTAATGCGGTTGAGTGCACTGCCAATGCCCCGTCGCTTGCGGTAGCGTCTTAAAATTCTTACCAGGCGCAATGTGGCTCGGGGGGGGGGGCAGTCGCCGCGCGCGGCTCAGCGATGTAGTGTAACTCGAACATTCCAGCTTCTCACGGAACATTCCAGCTTCTCACGCATGCTAAGTGACTGCCCTCACCCCCAACCCCCTGAATTGGCTACATTCCCCCTGGCTCACGAATTTCCTGTTGCCGCAACGCCGCGCGCGGCGACTGACCCCCCCGAGCCACATTGCGCTTTTGCACTTGCTTACCATTAGTGTTGCTTGGAAGAGGTCGCAGTTTTGCAGTAATGAATCACGATACGAGCTGTCCATGTCTTGATTATGTACTCGAGAGCGACTTCTTAGTTTAAGTAATAGTCGTAGAAGTCACTACCGATTACCTTTAGATGCCAACTCTAACTTGGTATTGTGGAATATCGTAATGTGTTGACATACACGAAATCTTCAGTCTTCTGTTCTTGAAGAGGACATGGAAAATGTGTTCGACAGGGGGAATTTCTTGGTCGCTCATGGATTTATGCGATTGCTACGGCGGACTTGACTTTTCCTTCCAGCTGGGGTCTTCCCACTCATTCTGTGCACAAACTCTGAAGTATGATCCCCGATCGATTGATATTGAGAGGACAGTACGCCTCATCACAACGAAATGCACGGTCCACCTAGGATTCAAACAGTATTGGCGCGAAACTCGTCCGGAAACTCGTCCGCCGTTTTTTCCCGTGTAAGTTTAGCGGCGAGTAAGATTTCCTACCCTTATCCATATGCTATTGCAGAGTAAGATTATCTTATAATTATTCCCCATATATTCCAATAAACTGAAT